TAGGCTTCCCATGGAATCTTCGAGTTGGCAGGGAAAGTAGAGTATTCAGCCGGCGGCGGAGCGTAGTAGGTGGTTGACAGAGCGTAGCTCGCTGGAACCAAGAGAAATTCCACGGGAACTGTAGCGCTTTTAGCGGGAAAAGTAAAATTGGGCACGCGGCGTCCAAGAATCGAGTCAGAACGTAAAATTGCCTCCGACGCGTAAAGCGAGCATTTTTGTAAAACACTTACATAATCCTTCCCCCTTTTATTAGAGCATTCGCTCCATGAACGCTTGATATTGAATCGCGGAGAAACAGTGATCATGCATTGAAGACATCTTTTCAACCGATGAGAGAGCATCATATGGTGTGAGTGTCTTCTTATGAGAATTGTATGAGTATTTATTTTGTGAGTATTGTCCTTCAATGAAGATGTGATTTGTCAATTTTAATCGCTGTCGCCATGAAGTCGGAGTAGTTCTCGAAACAGCGTTGAGTACCAGCGAAATGTCACGGCGCTGGGTAACCTTGAAGCGTTAGCCAGGAATCATTTATCGCTGCGCGATTATTTGTTCATCACTTGAGATCTTCGAACAAATTTTGTTTGATACGTGTTGTTGTGAGAGAGTTGCCAATTCTCAAATTTCCTCTTTAAGAATATAATGTTTCGATTTTTGACCATCAGTAAGGCCTGTTTGATGAGCAAAATACGATGTCAAATATTCAGAAAGTTGAAATTGCCTGAGTGATTGAACCTCTTAACGTGTGAACTTGACGTTGTGAGCTGACATTTGAGCGTGGCGATTCCGGTTCTTGATTATTTGAAAATCATCAATCTCGGGGTTCTTGCGAGCATCCTTCATGATGATTGGTTCGAACTTTACCATTGTTTACGTAAACTTGAATGATCATCAGGTCTTGAGTATTGTGGAGATTTGCCAACACGTGAGAGTCTGAGCAAGCCAAGAGGGGCGTACCTTCCCCCTTTTTATTTTGAGCAGTCACTTTCTTGGTCTGAGACATTTTGACCAGGTATCTTCTTCCTTGAAAAGACTTTCCAGATCCAGTGAGTCTTGAGATTTGCTTGTTTCAGGACGTTATGAGTCCCGCAAAATCAAACACTCGTTTAGTTTAGGTCCGGACTTTCGTCCCTTTATTTGCACAGATACCGAAATACAGTGAGAAGAGTCTTCTAGCTGCGTCGGCGTAGGCTGGACCAAGACGAACCTGAAGATGGTTTAGTAGGGGCGTTCTCTTTCTCTTACTGCCGAAAAGGCTGGGGCTTTCCCCTTACCTCGCTGGACTTCTGCTGACGTCTGAGCGGGTCTCAGGCGCCAAGGAAGTCAGCTAGATAATGGCCTTTCCGGAGGGCAAGCTGTCGGTTTCCCTCGACTCGTTCCGTTTGCCCGACGGGCACCGGAGCGCATACTCATTCGTAACGTCCCCCTTCTTCACCTGAAATGCCATTATCGGCGTTGGCCGTTGCCGTTACCCCATCTTCTCTTCGCCTTTGGCTCGTCGTACCGGTCGCCGGGGCGCTTGAATCCTTTTCCTGATTCGGAAACGAATCCTCCTTTTCGGTAGTCAACGCTCGAACGTCCTCCGGTTAGCACTTTCCATCCGCGCATGAAATTAGGCAGACGCTGGGCTATGAATGTCGTTATTATCCTTGTTAAATAGTTCCGCTTACTTTTTGGACAACTCCGTTGTTCATCGTGAAGCCTCGCAATTTGCCAGAGTCCGACACGGTCACGAGCGTATTCCCTTGGAATTGGTCGAAGTTAGCCACTGCCGCAATCTTCTTCAGCGCTGATTCGTTTGTCAGATAGTTGAACGTGCCTTGCAGCGTCCATCTGGACATTGTCATCAGCGAGCCCTTGTAACCGTCCATTTTAGCCCTGTTTTCTGCGAAGATCGCTCTGGCGGCCTTGGCCCAGTCCACGATTTCGTCGTTTGATCCGCATTCTGGGAACTCGGGCAGTCGTCGGGTGATGTCGAATTCCGAGCAAAATCGTTCGAACGCATCCACCGATCCTTGGGCAATGCTTGCACACGTCGTCTCCGATGTTTGCTCTTCAATGAAACGCTCGACGTCCCGCATGGAATCCACTTCTTGTAGAGACACTCGAGCGCCGTTGTCCGAGGTGACGCCAGTTCCGTGTTTGTGCCACACGTGGAGGATTAAACCGGCCAGCTGCTTCGGGGCTTCGGAGCAGAGCTTGTACAACTCCTTTTGAGCCCAGACCGTCAAGCATACCAATGGAGCAGCGAGCGGCTGATGCACTCGCTATAAATTATAGCCTATAATACGCAGGTTAGTCGGGGTTTTCCCAGTTTATTCTTACGTTTTCTGGCAGGGCGTAGACCCCTTTATCGATATCCGCCATTTTTGTCATCCAATTACCGACGTCGGTCAAGAAATTGGAGCATTCCGGGTTCTTTGACACCTTCGCCACAAACGACAAATTTGTGAAAGCGCTCATGAAATTGCCCGGCCGGACCCCAGCTTTTAATGAAGCCATGAGAGCGTCGTCCTTTGAGTCGCTTGTGTGTTGTTCGAGCTCAGCGATTTGGTTTTTTGACGCTAGCTTTGTATCCGGCTCTGCTTCTGCCATTTCCAGGAAAGAAGGCAGGAAGCTCGAGGGTCCAGCGCTCGTTCCCTGATTCGTTCGCGTGGAGGACCCTTTCTCCTCCGCGTGCTCCGCCCCGGGCGTTTCATCCAACGTTGCTTTTTTCAGCTTATCGCCAATTTTTTTCACTTCGACCATGCTTAAACAAACTTATTAAGGCACCTGGACGATTTCCGCCGCATAGAGAATGCTACAGCGATGCAGGAACTTTCGCAGAACTCGCGACGTCGCGACCAAGGATTCGACTTTGCGCGTATCGAATATTCCCTTACTTCTCCGCATATGCGCCGTGCTCAACGTTTCCAGGGGAAAGGGCCCGTTACGTGTATGTTAATCTATTACAGGAGGCGTTTGATAACAAGGACATCAAGGAATCCGATCTTTTTCGTGGGGCATTTTATGCTAAGGCGTATTTTGATGGTAAAATTACCGATTAAATTTTTAATGATTATGCGTAAGATTTTGTTACTGGAGGGGCGCGTGCAGGTTTGGTGAAAGTGATTATTCCGCCGTATTCGCGACACAACAGCGTCGACTTTCGCGTGATGTTTCGGAGCTACTGCCGTTCCGTAGATGCAGCTGCCGCCGAATTCGGTGCCAATGAAGACATGCTGGTGTTCGCTAAACGGTTTGGAATTCTTCGCGGCCAATAGCTAACTTAATTTTAGGTCCTTGTTGAATCGCGCCTTGAAATTTCTTACCGTGACTTCGTAGGAAGCGGCTGAGCTTATGGACGAGACGGGTTTTTGCGGGGAGTAGGATTTTCTTAATGCTCTTATTTAGGACATTACGAGCACGAAAACGAAACTCTAGAAGGTTCGTGGAGCACCTACGGGTTTGACGATCTGCAGTTTCTATACATATGGGTTTTTCGATTCGTTCAGGTGGCAACATTACTCGTCGGCGACCTCTTAACTTTCATTTAGAAACTGACGGAGCCTGACTTGGCCATCGAGTTCGCCAACACGTTAATAGTGCCGCGAAGCGAACTGGAGAACGACTTTACCTTTATTCATCGCTTCTTGAATTGTTCGCCTCACCGACCTCGAGTTCTGCGGTCGATCCTACGGCAGAGTCCAGGCATATTATCGATCCTTAATTTACGGTTTAGTAGGGCTCCAACTTCGCGCGTCGGAAGAAGTGTGGCCCGGGTTTGATCTCGATTTGTTGCTATTCTTCGCCATGGACTTGTACCTTTCGGACGAACCACACCCCTTCCTGGGCTCAGTAAGTACCTGTACTCTCAGCTAGCGGCCAAAATCCGTCGTTACCTTCGTAAGCCAACTCTGACGTTTTGTTCAGGACGAGTCCAGCTCGCTCATCTGTATCGCCGTTGCTTGATGGCCGCCACTCCGTTCTCGGAGCGTCTCGTGCTGAAATATGGATTTTATCCATTGTTTTCCGACATGGTCACGCGCGCCTTCGTTTACCCCGGGTCATTTCGACAGGTAATACCTGATCCATGGAGGGATCCCTTCGAAGCTACCCCCGAGGACTGTTTCTACATTCACCGAGACCGTCGGAGAAACCGTAAGTTGATTATTTTTTCAAACGTGAATTATGATTAACTAATTTTTTTAATTTCTAGGGATGGTAAATCTCATTCCCGAGGGCCTCGGCGAGTTGTGGCTTGGGGCTGAATACCTGCGTCTCTACCCCCGGGGCTTGCCCGATACTGGCTCACTGGCTATCATCCCCATCGCTGAGGCGATTACTGAGGGCGAAAATGCAAGGCGACCCCTTTGCGACGGCGTGGAAGATCTTCGATACCCTTACCGAGTTGACGTACCTGATTTTTGAGAAGCGACTTCACTTTCTCCGCCGCGAGCTCTGAATCCAACTGGTCCGTCCCCTGCATGCGTCGCGCTTCCACTAACTTCTTGAACGCTTTTAACTGTTACTCGATACTCTGACATGTGAAATATACGAAAAATTTAGTAACTTCCCTTCGCTGTCTTTTTTCGTCAGTTCGTTGACGGTTGTCGTAATTACATCAAGCTCGATCGCGCGTTCTAGAGCCATTTCGATTGCCAGAATGCTTCTTTCGCGTTTCCTTACCACGACTGTTTGGACCAGAGATGATTCTAGGTCGACAGCCGGGTCCACCGTCCGTTTGAGTCGTTTTGGGAGCGTGAAGGCGTAGTCCTCGTTTTCCATGGCCCGTTCGCGTTTCAAGCCGCGTCGGTTCATTCTGAAGCGGTTAGATTTAATCGGACTTTTCACCAGCGCCATTTTTATTTCAGATCGCGCGTTTTTGACTTCGGCTGTCTCACTCCTCGTTTTTCTCGAGAGGAACCCCCAGATCCTAAAGGTAATTTACGAATCTAAAGAGCTGCTCTGACTTACCTCGAGCTGAGCTGCTGCTTTTGCGAAGGCGTATTGCGCTTCTTTCATTTCTTCGCGAAGCTTTCGTACTTTATCGGCCAGCTCGTGATTGAAACGCTGCTGGATCTTGAAGAGCGAGAGAATCGCCTTCTGGCGGGTTTTTCTTCGGTCGAGTTGCACTCAACTTTGACCACATCGTCCGAGGCCAGCTCCGTTCTGCAGCCCGGGCAGGTCGTAATTATTCCGTCCCCTACGCATTTGAGGCAAACCAGGCAGAGTCGGAAGCATTTTTCGTGTTTCTCTTGCCCTTCGTAGCGGGCTCGGTTCGGGTTTCCGTCCTCGAAGGCTACGTTGCATCCTTCGCAAAAGTCCGACTCTCTTATGAGGTTTTTCCATGGCTCGTTCATAACTTTACGTGGCATTTTGACGTTTTCCTTTACTTCTCACGCGGTTGTTTCAGGAACGCCGGCTGCCATTGGCCGTCGACTTTTTCGATCCACGCTGCCTTCGAGCGAAATGCCTACTTCCGTCGCTCCGTCTACGCCTGCACAAACCCGAAGCCGATCGAAAAGGAAACGCCTTGATGATTCCATATCGACTCAAATTGGCCGCGAAATTTCAAGGAATGCGAAAATGCCACTGCGTAAGCGTGCTCGGCGATCCGTCGGTAAGTTTGCTCCCAAATCTCGGTCCTTTTAGTGTAAACGACTTGTAAATAGTCGCTTGTATATGCATCCCGTTAGTCGGTTTAAATAATACGACATTTGTTTTTAGCGTCGGCGAAGCGGGCGCTGCAAATAACCACCATCAATAAACGCAAGCTTGCTGACCTTGATGGTACCGTTTCTCATCCTGAAGATTTCAAGCGGGCCAAAACCGAGGTGGAAACGTCTCACGTCGGCTCGCTTTCTCCCGTGAAAAATGATGACTACGAGTACGAACCCATTCCTGATGCCACCGACGAGAAGAAAATTTTTGAATTTATAGATGAGTGCTATGACGCTGTTTCGACGCCTCCCCCATCTTCGTTTGGGCTTCGGTCTCGTGGCTATTCGCAACCTGTTTCAACTGGGGAGCTCCGTCGCTTCCGTTGGCTTCAGGAGTCCAGAACGTTTGGAAATTCGCCTTTTGGGTAATCTCAGATGGGTTCGTAAATGCTTATCGACTTTGTTTTAGGGTGAAACTTGAGCGGGTTTTCCCACTTTTTCCCGAGTTTGACGTGGCTTTCCTCGGCTCCTTTCGTCCACAAAACGATCTCTACGTGCTTCATCGGCTTTTTCAACTACGCAAGCAACTTTATGAAGAGTGCACTCCGTCCCAACTTTCCATCGGGACTCTGGAGAGCCCCTATCAGGATTTCCTTCCTTTCTTTTCGTATGAGAATTTTTGCGACTTGAATCAAGCCCCTTAAATTAGAAAATCAAGGAACGGGGCTGAGACGGAGAGAGTCTCGAACAAATTGAGACCTCCTTATCAGAAAATGACCTGTATCACGTGATCACGTGGTCAGACCAAAAAATTTTCAATTAGAATTTTTTTAGTTGGGTCCAAATACCTATTGTCCCAAAATTTCAGCCCACTAACATTGAATGTTCTAGTGAAGGACTTATTTTCAATTTGTTACTATGTTACATAACAGTGTTATGTAGCACTTAAATGCCGATTGTGAGTCATCGGTGAGAGCTTCACTAAATTTTTTTTTTGAATTTTGATCAGAAGTCGACGGCGCATCGATTCCGACCAAAAAGAGCACTCAGACTTGAGGCGCTCAAAAGATAGTCCTTTATGGGGCCGAAAAGGGTTGAAAAACGAAAAAATTTTTTTCAAAAAAAAAAATTTTGTTAAGAAGTCGGGTATGATCTTTCACCATGCCGAGTTTCAACAAGATAGGATCTATAGGGAAAAAGTTGATTTTTTTGTAAATTCACCCTACCAATGGGTTAAGGGGGTGGTGGTCGAGAAAATTTTTTTCGAGTTTTTGAAATTTTTATATTATTTTTGACACGACTTGTTATTTTGACTTTTGTAAAATTTTAGTAATTTTTTACAAATCTCTTACTTTCGCGCCACTTAGACAATTATAGAGATTTTTGTAAAATTTTAGTAATATTTTACATATTTCTTACTCACTCGCCACGGACTTTAGATATTCCGACTTTGTAAATTTTAAGTAATATTTTACATATTTCTTACATATTTTGATCTGACTTGTACAAAAACCTTTATTCTGTCCTATTTTAATGTGCGCTGACCCGATTACAGTTATCGACGTGACGAATCGACGATTGCAATCATAAACAACTGACTTATTTCCCAACTTTGAAACACCTGACTGACTCTGACTACCTTTATAAGCGATTTCTGCCCTGCAAAAAACATTCAAATTCAATAAAACCTCGATCGACTTTAAATTTTCGTTCCAGTCTTGTCAATTCTTATCATGGCGACCACGCTAAGACACCCAATCGAACTTCTCGAAGCCTTCGAGGACAACACACTTCCTAAGACGAAAATAACGACAAAGACGACAAAGAGACAGTTAAAAAGCCTAGAGACAGACCTGCGAGCAAAAATGGAACGAATGAAACTGATTTTCGACACTTCACTGAAGCTTCACGAGATTAAAGAAAACACAAGTGAGAAAACAGCCCTTGAAACTGAGTTCAAACGTACCCGCCGGAACATCTGCTTGACTCACCTCGATACTACTTTCCGCGAGCGCTACGAAGACGAATTCGAAGACATTAAGGGCTCATCCGACTTTTTTGACCTCCTCCACCAGATAATCGGCCAAGAAAATTCAGACGAAGAAGCAAAAGGGGCCCGACAAAAATTGAACACAGTCAGTCGACGAATCGAAGAAGAAGAAACATTCTCACGATTTCACACTCGGCTAGAGAAACTTGCGACCACCGCAAGCAAAGGTAATGCTACGCTTCAGAAACATTTTTTGGACGAGGCATTCAATGCGAATCTGACGCCAGAACTACGACGATATCTGCTGGACCAAGGCAAATCATCATGCGGCACCAATGAGACAGCGAAATATCTCGACCAGATGAAAAAGCATAAACGCCGGATCGAGATCAAAGCAGTTTCCGCAGAAGATACAATGCTGCGAGAACAAGTCACTTCCCTCACTCATCAATTTTCGACGCTTCCGACTCGTGAATTTCTCATGGAATCTCTTCAGTCGACCCTTTCTTCAATGATGGAACAAAAAATGAACTCATTTAGACAAGAATTCATCGATGTAAACAAAGTTCAGGCAAGTTTTCAGCAAAAACAACCAGCACAACAGCCAAGAAAATCCTACGAACAACAGCAAGCCATCAAAACGACTGCTCACTTCACATCTGAAAGACGCGATGAGCCGTACCAATCAAGACAACCAAGACAATTCGAACGACGACAGGACGGAGCGCCGGTGATCTGTTTTGCATGCGGAGTCAAGGGACACTCAAAGAAGAATTGCCGTGGCACTGTTGTTTGCCATATCTGCAACGAACGTGGCCACATCAAGGATATCTGCCCCCAACGCCTGTCAAAAAACTAGGAAATGGATCTTATGACTCGTCACATAAGGTCCAAGCCGCCGTCTCGTCTATCGTCAGCCGAGTTGGCCCAAAACTTCTCTCATCAGCAATAATTTATGGTCAGCGCACTAATTTTCAGATAGACACCGGCGCTCAGGTGTCATGTCTACCCCGTTCCCTAATTCCGTCTCATCTTCAATCGCGTATCGTCCCATCTCCTGTACATCTCCAGTCCTACAATGGTACCGAAATACAAGTCTACGGCTGCATCTCAACAAGCTTCAATATCGGCGATATCGCGATGGAAAAATGCATCTTTTATGTGGTTGATGATCACTGCAGCCCAATTTTAGGGACCCCTGAACTAACAGAAAACGGACTTCTCATCGATCTTTACAAAAGTGTTCTCCGGCAGGGGAATACTGAAGAAAAACTCCAAATTTGCACGAGCCCCGCTACAGGAATCAAATCGATTTCGAAAACAAAATTCTTCTCAGCAACAGCCGTGTCATCAGCACCGATAACCATCATGCCGAAATCATCTACTTTCATCGACATAGATCTCAAATCCTGCCCTACAAGCTATATTTGTACTGTCCCAGAAAACGCCAGCAATAAAAACCTCGAAATCTACGACCAATGCGTTCAACTTGGAAGCCTTCAAAGTAAGACAAGAATTCATATCGCAAACAAATCAGCTGTCCCAATCTTCCTAAACAAGAACGCTGTTGTTTGCCAAATCAAAGAAGTTGAAATAAGAATTCCGGAGCCGGCAATACAAGGCAAATTCAATGAAATTGTGCGCGAACTAAGTATCGGAGACGTTTCGCCGGAAATACGAAGGAAACTTGAAGAACTTATCATGGAGTATACTGATGTCTTCGCCGTCGAAGACGAGAAACTCGGAACAACGGACGCAATGTCGTATAAGATTGATACAGGTGACGCTGCGCCGGTGGCTTCACAGAGATATAAAACGCCCTATTATCTCCGGAAAGAGCTTAGGCGGATTATCGACGCAAACCTTGCATCCGGACTCCTGGAACCCTGTTCAAGCCCGTGGGCGGCACCTGTCCTTCTCGTCAGGAAAGCCAATGGAAAATGGCGTCTCGTCTGTGACTACCGAAAGCTCAACGCAGTCACCATCGCGAATCAGTACCCTCTGCCTGATATTGACGGGCTGATAGACCAAATGGCGGACTCGACAGTCTTCTCAACTACAGATCTCTTCACTGGTTTTCACCAAATACCATGCGACGAAGAAACTAAACAGAAGGTCGCGATAACAACCGATTTCGGGCAATTTACTTGGTCGGCCATGCCAATGGGTGGTAAGAACGCTCCAGCAGTATTCCAAATGATGATGGATAAGATCTTTCAACACATCCCAAGCAGCCAGCTCGCAATCTACCTTGACGATCTTTGCTTGCATTCGCGGACAATGGAAGATAATCTAGACGTCATCGAAAAGGTCCTCATGACTCTGAGGAAGAACAACTTGAAAATACGCGCGGCAAAAACGGAATTCCTTAAGAAAAGAATCAAATTTTGCGGCGCAATCATCGAAAATGGATTCCGGTCCCCAAATCCTGAGAAAACTAAAGCTGTACGCGAGCTTACACGACCAACAACAAAGAAAGAAGCGTCAAGTGTCTTTGGACTTCTCAACTATCACCGTGCCTTTATTCCTCACTTCGCATCGAAGGCAGCGCCAATCAACAAAGCAATGAGTAAGGGATTCAAATGGACGAAGGAAGCAGACGATGCACTTACTCTGCTCAAGAACGAAATTGGGGACTACGTTGACTCTTTGAAGATACCAGACCCAAACTCGGGCAATTTCGCGATTGAGACTGATGCCAGCGAGTCAG